GGGCGAGGAGGGGTAGGGTGAGGTGGGGTGAGGTGGGGTGGGGTGAGGTGAGGTGGGGTGAGGAGGGGTGGGGCCGCTAGCGACATCAGTTCGTTAGCACGTGCCTGGGGTCAGCGCAGCGCTGCACACAGCTTCCCCTCCCAACTTCCCTCATCTCCGCACCATCAGCAGGAGAAAGAAAATATCTCTAAAATGAAATCACACACACAAAAAACATACAGCCAGATTTGTGCACGATTGATTGACCAACGCTGAACGACTCTCGGCGGAGCCAAACCAAACTGGCAGAGGTGGTTCATTTACATTTTCCAGCGCGCGCGCGGTGCCTTTTTCGAAGTAACGACATAGAGTGGCGATGGCGATGGCGAGGCTTTTAGCAGCCGGCCGGCTGCTCACCATGCTCACCTTCGGCTCGAGGCGCGCCGCCGTCCTCCAACCCGCCAACCTAACGAACGCACCAAGTGCAGCCCCCCCAGCCTCGCCGCGTACGGCACGCACTCACACCAGCATGCAGCAAAGCACACGCACGGCGTTGGCAACACTGTGCTGCTGCTGCTGCTTCTGCGAAAGGAAAGAAATGTAGAGTGTAACAGCAACACCGTGCATCCTCCTGTGAGGGTCCTTGCAGATGGCGTGTTTGCATGAGTGCGAGAGAGACGGGGAGGAGGCGGGAGGCACACGCAGCAGCGGCAGGGAAGTGCAGGGGCGCATGCCGGGAGCGGCAGGAGCAGGGAAGGCCCGCCAGAGAGCAGGGGGGGAAGGGAGGGGAAGGCCCGCCAGGCACGCAAAAGACGCAACCGTAAACTTGTTGCAAAAAAAGGAAGAAATAACTCCACCGCAAACGACATCGCCGTGGCGCGCTCCTTTTCTACCCGGGCTTACAATAGGAGCGCAAAGAAATCCCGCTCCTTTCAGCACAATATCATCCTACACGGAGGGGGTACAGGTGCACGTGTAAAAAATCTGTCGTGGTGGGATAATTAATGCAGTTTACCTAATAGTATTCCTAGTAGCAGCAGCAGCAAGTGCGACAATTAGCCAATCATCTGGACTGCGGCTGCAACTATGCGCACGCCAGCGACACGGCATTCCATTTTCCAGGCGTTTTATTTCACCGCTCAAACAGCGCAAGGCCGACGGCAGTACCAACCAACGCGCCGCCAATACGTTAGTGCGGACCGACAGTTGGTGAGCCTGTCTGCATGGTAATTGGTCGTCTGCTCGTGGCGGCCTGGCGGGGCGGGGC